GGGGGGGGGGCGGGGGGGGGGGGGGGGTGCACTTACGTAAACGAACGTCGTCCTCGTTAGACCATTGGCCTCGAATTGCGACGGAACTCAACACGACCACCCTCGCACACGGTTGTACGTTCCCGCTGTAGCACACACCGGTCAGCCGGTTTAACCTGAAAAAATCGTGCCGAGTTTCGGTACAATTTCAACGATATTTTTTTGGCCAAGAGAGGTCACACTGATTTTTTCTTTTTCTTCTCCACCTTTAATCTTCTGGTGTTTTTTGCCTTCAGCTAGTCTTGGCGTGGTGAACAAACTACTCCAATAACACCCCGAAGTCTTCACTACACGGGGGCGGCGGGTCACCACCTTTGCCGCGGTAGTGCGGGAACACGCGATCATATCGTGCGTGTGGGGAGGGTGCCAAAGATCGCTATTTAGGCGAAGGGTAAGGCAGCTGACCTGTTGACGTAAGCATGTGCGTGGGAGTTCTCCAGCCCCGCCAATTCCGTGGTGTTGTAGCGGGAGAAGTCGAAGCCGTCGAAGCCGCGCCGCCCGAGGTTGAGAACCGGCCGTCGGTACCTGCAATTCACCATTTGTTCATCAAAAGACCGAACGCGCGCCCGCTTTAGAACATCTCATGTTGGCCGAAGCTCGTTTCTTGTTTTGTCTGTGATAAAAAAAAAAAACGACAAAAAAATAAATAAATAAAGGTTTTCGGCCAAAGAAAACGACGAGAGAGGAAAGGACCGTGCGTGATTCGCAAGACCCGTGACTACGACAATAGGTGAGGACCCTCGACTACAGTACATTGCCTGCGGGGGACGTCAGCCAGTCCCATCGCCTGTAGCGCAGCGACCGAGCCGCCGAGGCTGTCGGAGCGATGCCGTCGGTCAAAGACGGGAGTATCCTTATCCTTACGCCGCCGCGGATCCACTACCTGATCGGGTCGGCAGGAGGGGGGGGGAGTGGGAGGGGAAGGAGAAGGAGGAGGAGGAGGAGGCGGAGGAGGAGGAGGAGGAGGAGGAGGAGGAGGAGGAGAAGTTAAGTAGTTGACGGAGGTGGTATGTTGATGAGAAAACGAAAATAAGCACGCCACTGTCCGGTGGATATGACCGAAAGCAGCCCTGACTACGCAATGCAGGCGAAGATCGCCGCAGTATGACGGTGGAGACAAGATCAAAGTTACAACAAAGCGGGACACAACAACAATAGCAACTAAAGACAAGCAACAGAAACGTCAAAGCGCCAACGGCAAAACCCATTCACTACCACCAGCACCCCCCCACCCCCAAAACAACATACACCTCATACACCCGGTACGGCAGCAGCGAGTTTGGCCGGTGAACGTCAGCAGCAAACAACTACAACTACCTTAAAACACAACAACCACAACACATCTCGTACACCGTAGCCTCGGCCTTGCACTACAGCAGCGAGTTCCCAGATACCATTACCCTAACAAACAACAACTACCCTAACCTCCCCCCCTCCCACCCGAAGCGCAACGATGTTTGCCATCGGGGTTGGGTTTTCGTCGCTTGGCAACGACGTTGTAAAACAGGCCGCCCCCCCTGGTGTTTGCCATCGGGGTTGGGTTTTCGTCGCTTGGCAGCGATGTTGTAAAACAAGCCGATCACTTCGTGAGCTCGGCAACCAGGTTACCGCTTTTTTTTTTGCCTTTGGTTTGTTTTTTGCGGTAACCATGAATGGTGGTCTAGTAGATTATGGTGGGAGGGGTCGAGAACCCTCACTCCGCGCAAAGGGGATAATCGCACGTAGTGTTAAATTGGTCAAGCATCCTCGAGGCAGTTACACAGCGCTTACAACTGTCTCTGGAAGTGAAAGCACCAGAAAAAAAATTAAGTCATACGCAGCTGTCATCCGTAAGCAAGGAAGTAAGCACAAGATGCCGAACACCCTTAGCAGGATGCAGCGCACCCTTCATGCGACTCGCCGAATACCTCACGGCGCTTCGCGCTTGGTGATGTGAGAGCCTGGTCCGGTGAGAACCCGGCGTGCTCCGCCCCGGCTTTGTAGGTATGCGAGGTCAATGGTCTAACGACTACGGCATGCACGACTACGAGTACCCCCCCCCCCCCCCCCCACCCCCCCCCAACCCCAAACATACGTACCTCTCGACCAAACTCAGATCTTATCCGTGGGGATGACGTCCAAGTCCCTCCCCCCTTACGACACCCCCCCCCCGACCGAGCTCTTGGGGGACCCCGTTGTGCGGGTGTTCGACGCCAGGATGCCCACGAGGCCCGGGCCGCCGCTGCATTTAAGCTTGCTGGGGGCCCCCCGGCTGGTGCGGTTCCTGGCGGACGAAAGCCTGGCCCTCGCCTCTTCATCTGGGCAGTTCCTGGTGTCCGAGGAGCCCTTCACCGGTGAGTTTTTTTTTTTTTTGCTGCATTGCTTGTTCGGGTATTTTCATGTTTTAGTTATTTGTACTGTAGTTGATACTTTTTTCCCACAAGAGAGCGGTTGTTGTTTTTTTCTTC